AGAGGAAGGAAGAGGGAGAAAGAGAGAAACATCAATGATGAGAGAGAATCATTGATCAGCTGCCTCCTACATGCCTCCTACTGGGGATTGAGTCCACAACCTGGGCATGTGCCCTTGACCAAAATCAAACCCAGGACCCATCTGTGCACAAGCTGACACTCTATCCACTGAGCCAAAGCAGCTAGGGTGAGGTGGAGAATTTTTTTAAGTTTATTATTATTATTATTATTATTATTGATTTTTAGAGGGAGAGGGAGAGATAAAAAACATCAATGAAAGCGAGACATCATCGATCAGCTGCCTTCTGCATGACCTCCCACCCCTGGGATCCAGCCTGCAACCTGGACATGTGCCCTGACCTGGAATTGAACCAGCAACCTCTTGGTTCATGGGTCCACACTCAAACACTGAGCTACACTGGCCGGGCCAGGTGGAGAATTTTATTTAGAAATCCTCCTATATTTTCTTATAAGCTTTTTGTTTATTTTTACATCTAACTCTTTAATCCATCTGGTGTTTATTTTTATCTGTGGGATAGAATAGGCACCCTGTTGCAGTCCGCACTTCTCTAGCACTTTGTTGGACCCTCCTACAGCTCTTCCTTTCACTCACTCATCCATTCAATGATTGTTTAATTACTAATGACTTTGTGCTATGCCCTTCACTGTACACAAGGATAAAAAGAGAAGATCCTTATCATAAAGGATAAGAAGAGAACAATAAGAGGAATCTCTTACCTTTTGGAGACTATTATACTAAGTGAAATAAGCCAAACTGAGAAAGACAAATATCACATGATCTCACTTATTTGTGGAATCTACTGAACAAAATGAATCTATATATATATAAGCCTAAGTGACTGTTCAACCAGTAGCTCTGATGCACAGTGCCACCAGGGGGGCAGATGCTCAATGCACAGGCATGGAAACATGTAACAAACTGATGAATCTCAGAGGGAAGGGGGTTGGGTGGAGGGCGGGAAGAGATTAACCAAAGATCTGATATGCATACTAGAGGCTTGGTGCATGGATACATGCACCAGTGGGGTCCCTTGGCATAGCCTGTAGGGATTGGGCTAAAACCAGCAGTCTGACATCCCCAAAGGGTTCCCGGATTTCGCTAAAACCAGCAGTCTGACATCCCCAAAGGGTTCCCGATTTCGAGAGGGCACAGGCCAGGCTGAGGGATCCCACCAGTGCATGAATCCATGCACTGGGCTTCTAGTTGACCAATAAAATAAGACCTGAAGCATGGAGGCATGGGATAGACTGACATATCTTGATGTGGGTTTGGGAGGACGAGGAGAGATAAACCAAAGAAATTATATACTTACATGCATAGCCCATGGACACAGGCAATGGGGTGATGAAGGCCTGGGCGGGGGGCGGGGGTGCAGGCCGGGAGTAGGGGCTGGGGGGAGGAGAGGAAAGGGGGAGAAAATGGGAGACATCTGTAATACTGTCAACAATTTAAAAAATTTAAAAAAATTAAAAAAGAGAATAATGGCTCTAGCCAGTTTTGCTCAATGGACAGAGCATCTGCTTGTGGACTGAAGGGTCTCAGGCTTGATTCTGGTCAAGGGCACATGCTCGGGTTGTGGGATCGATCCCCAGTGGGGGGCATGCAGGAGGCAGCTGATCAATGTTTCTCTCTCATCATTGATGTTTCTATTTCTCTCTCCCTCTCTCTTCCTCTCTGAAATCAATAAAAATATATATATTTTTTTTTTTTTAAAAAAGAGAGAATAATGACAGAGCTTCTGGGCCCTAGGCCTGGGGAGGAACTGAATATACTTGGGGAAGCAGATATGTGAATGGAGAAATGACAGTTTAACAAGGCAAATGCTTTAATGATGTATGATGGTTCTAAGCTTTTGGAATTCTGGCAAAAAAAAATGTGTTTTCATTCTTTTGACTCTCTCATGGTTTGTAGCACTGTGTCCTACCCACTGAAATTACTTAATATATATGTTAACAATGAACTTGAGTGTATATCTTTTTTTTAAGCTTTCACTTATATCCAAAGTTCCAAATGTACATTCAGCTACTTACTAGATATCTCTACCAGCATATCCCAGAAGGATTTCCGGCTCAAGATGTCCTAAACAGAATTCTTTCCTCTGAAACCTGGTCTTCCTTTATTCCTCACCTCAGTTGTCTGAGATAGAAAGCTCAGAATTATTCTCAATACCACTCTCTCCGTAACCCCATATCCAACCAGTCACCAAGTTTCTTCTATTCTAGGTCATAAATACGTTGTGACTCGTTTTCTTATTCCCCTCATCTTGGGTCACACTTTCATTATCTCTTTCTTGAATTGATAAAACAAAAACAACACATTCCAATAGATCTCTCTACCTCTTCTATCTTATCTCTACAACCTCATAGTCACCACCATCTTATTTCTGAAACATAAATCTGACACTATCATTCCCTTGGTTTAATCCTTTTGTGGATCCCTAATGTTTTCCGTATAAAGTTTATTTTTTAGAAATCAATTTTTAGAAAGCAATATAAGAATCTTATAAACAGCTGCATGATAATACATTTGAAAACCTAGTTGAAATATCTAGAAATGGCTCAATAGAATCATTTCAATCTGGCTATAGTCAAACCTATCCCAAACAAATAATCTAAAACATGGAAAATGTTATATACACAGAATTACTCTGGTTCCTATATTAGTTTTCTATTACTGTTGTAACCGATTACCACAAATTTAATGCCTTAAAACAACACAGGAAAAATGAAAAGATCCTTGAACTTCGTAACTGTGGATTTATTTTTGTGTAGATGAGTAGTTTCTATTTAAGTTATGGTTCATTGGGTTTTCTGTTATTTGCAGCCAAATGCAACTTAACTGGTAAAAGTACTTCTGTAATTAAAATAGAGAAGACTTGGAGGAATTATTATTGTAGATCACAGAGAATTCTATTACTTTATCCCCACATACCAAGTGCTCATTAATCTGCTCTTGCTATGATCAAAACAGTCATCACAAACACCATAATGAAAAAAATCCACATGAAGAATCGATCTATGACTTTCGCAACCTTCTTCCATTCACTCCCCTTGGAATTGGTGGCCTTGTGGTCTTTGAGGCACTTGGCAATGTATTCGATATTCCTCGTCAGCACTTTGTACCGTGCACAGTAATCGTCAGCATCCTGCTGGGTCTCACCTTGGCACCCCAAGTCATTCTTTAAGAGTTTGTTCATTTCCTTCTTTCTGGGAAGGTCTTTGTTCCTGGCTGTTTTCAGATTAGCCTCTGGAAGTTTGCCATAAACCTTTGTGAGGCGGCCCCGCTCCCTGTCGTGGCGGGGGCTAAGGCAACTCTCACCCACGTCGTAGACGAACAAGATCCTGGACATGTATTTCAGTATAACCACCCTGGCCCAGTGTGGCACTGGCCGGGCCTCAGCCCCACAGAAGTGGATATTCATCACCATAATGGTCAAGGCAGTGGAGGCTGTGATCAAGGCCATCGTGGCTATGTAGTATTTGCCTGAAAAATATCAACAACCAAGTCAGCTTAAAACTGACCTCATGTTTGGCTCAAAAAAAACAAAAAACAAAACAAAACCAAAACTAAGGAAGCCATATACACTAATGAGTACTACTATAGACTTTTGAATCAAACTTCCTGGGTTCAAATCCCAAGTTCTGTCACCCACTAGACTTGTGTCCTGAAACAAGTTATATAATGCTGCTAAGCCTGAGCTTCTTCCTTTGCAAAATGAATATAATACTTGTATCTAACTCATAGGAATATAGTGAAGCTTAATTGAGGTGACTCATGTAAAGTCCTCAGAACTGTCCCTTATACCTACTTAAAAGGTTTGTAAATGTTTGCTGAGATCATGATGTGAAAAATGTTCACTTTCAACAGGCAAACAAATAATTAACAATCTCAGCCAGTTCTCTGAATTGTCTTCAGGCCTCATTAATGTGAAAGCTCATTACTATTGAATAAGAAGAGACACTGTGTCCCTATCTATTTAACATGTGATTATATAATAAAGTGAATAATCCTGAAAAAGATGAAAAAAGGAAACAAAGATAAAGGTAAAAATTTATAAAATGTAGAACCAAAAAATCCAAGAAAATGAGTAACATTGAAAGGGAGCTACTTTTTTAAAATAATGAAATCGATAAACTTTGGTAAGACTGCACATGAAATAGAGGCAGGTGGTAGAGGGGAGAAAGAGGATGCAAAAGAGGAAATAAGAGAATCAAAATTGAGAAAACAATATAATAATCTTATAAATAGTTGCATGATACTACATTTGAAAACCTAGATCAAATTTCTAGAAATATATCAGATGTCAAACATAGCATAAGAAGAAAGAACACTTGATTAGAAATGGAATTAATCAAATATATCTACCCCCCAAATACTCTAGGGCCAAAAGACTTTGTAGGTGAGTTTTGCCAAACTTTTAAGGAACAGATAATTTATTTTATTCAAGTTGTTCCAGAAATAGAAAAAGAGGAAAAACTGCCTGGTTCATTTTGTGAAGTCAATTTAACCTTGATTCCAAAAGTAACAAGAAAGGAAATATTAAGGCCATTTCACTTACAGACATATTTGAGAAAATCCTATTAAAATTATTAGCAAGCTAACTCAATTGGTGTCTTTAAATGATAATTCATCATGATAAAGAGGGTTTAGTTCAACATCAGAAAACCTAATTCACTACTTTAATAGAGAGTAAAAGAGAAAACTCACATGCATATCTTAACAGATGGAGATAATGGATTTAATAATATTCATCACCTGTTTATTATTTGTTAAAAGCTCTGAGTAAACTAAAACTAAATGGAACTTGGTAAAAGCTAAGGGCCAGATGCCCAGATCAAATGCTATACTTATGAAGAAAACTTGAACACGTTTCTATGACTAGAAGTTCATTTCATGAGTGCTACAAATAAATTGTGATTGCTAATAAATATTCTCAAGATCTGTGTGCACCCTTCCTAAAAAAAAAAATACATTTTTTTAAATCTCTTGTTCTGGATATTTTATTATTTTTCTCCACAAGGAAATAAGATTTAATTCTACACATTTACAAGCCAAGACAAAATAGAAATGAAATGTGGAAAACGAGGCCAGCAGTTCAACTCGAGGCCATGTCACCGCAGCCCGGGCCGCAGCAGCCCGTCATCCAGGCAGGACCGGGTCTGACCCACAGTCTCCCACTGCTCCTTCTGCTGCTCCCGCAGCTTGTGCTCCCGCTCCAGCTTCCTTTCCAGCTGCTCCAGGCGGTCCCTCTCTCTCCGGGAATGCTCTCTCACCATCTCCCGCCTCTCCCACTCCCGGCGAGCTTCGTCCTGCCCGAAGGTTACCGATCAGAATTTTTTTTTTTCATTTTTGTTTCCTTAATAAGAAAATAAATATTATCAGGTCAAGGGAAAGTACAAGGGCTGGACAGGAGCAGGAAGTGGGGCCAACACTTTCAATGAGCTTCATGGCTCCCTCCTCCACACAGTACCAGCTAGGGCATCAGGGTCCCCATTGTGTCCATCGGTCTGCATGTCCAGGTGTCCCGTGCTCACAACCCATTTCCCATCCCAGGGCTGCACGAGTTACCCCTTTCTTGGAGATGATACAGTGTACCCGTGTTGGCTGTGAGCCCCAGGTGGCCCCAGTGACTTGAGGTAGTGCGGGCTGGACATTCTGGTCAAACCAGTCATAAATCCGTGTTTCTATTTTACCACAAGGGAAGAAATGCAAAACAAGTTTGGAAAATGTCCAGTTAAGATCATATCCTCATGGTCAGCTTTTCACCAATAAGAGTGAGTCCAAGCCCTGGACCACTGCCGCAGGAGACAAACAAGTCTTGCCTGTCAGCGCCGCCGGAAAGCCCGGGATATTCTCCAGGCGTTGGGCTCCTCATAGCGGTTGTACAAGGATTCCAGGCGCTGCTGCTTCTTCTGCTTGCCATGCCCCAACTGGAGATCGAGCCCACACCTGGGTATGTGCCTTTATTGAAAATCAAACCCACAACCCTTCGGTGCACGGGATGACGCTCCAACCAACCGAGCCACACTGGCCAGGGCTCTCACGAACATTCTGAAGTGATTCTCAGCTGCCCCCTTTCGTGGAGCGGAGTATAACAAAAATGGAAAAGCTGGAGAAAGAGTTATGCGAAGAATCTGTAGCTCCACAGTACATACAGAGATGAACAGACACGACATTCAAGGAAGTTCAACTCAAAGATGGGGAAAAGACACCAGATGTTACCTGTCCATTATGCCTAACATCTGCTTGCGAATGTCCTGGGCCCGGCGCAGAGAACGAGCTTGGATAAAGTTCTCATAGCACCATGGGTTGGAAAACTTGTTGTTCTTCCAAGAATTGTACACGGCCAACAGGGTGAGGTGGTCACCTTCGGTTTGGTGGAATTTGGCCTTCTCCTGATCAGCAAGGGCTTGTTTATCTTTGGGCCTGTAAAAAACGTTCTGCACAGACAGCATGGACACAATGGTCAGCATTTCCTCACTGCAGCCCAGATGCACAGACATGATCAGCATTTTGCACAGCATTGGTTCCAGTGGGAATTCTGCCATCCTGCGGCCCAGGCGAGTAAGCAGGCCCTCATCATCCAGGGCCCCCAGTGTGTACAGTTGCTCCATGGCTGTGATCAAGGTTTCCATTGGTGGGGCATTCATGAAGTCAAAGGACAGAAGGTCATTGATGCCCATGGCCTTGAGCGAGAGCACTGTGCTTGCTAAGTTGGTTCTCTGGATTTCTGGCACATTGGTGGTCAGCATTTCATCTCGGCAGGCTCGTTCTGTGTACAGCCTGTAACACTTCCCTGGGCCTGTTCTTCCAGCTCTGCCAGCTCGTTGCTTTGCCTGAGCCTGGAGGAGTGAGCATATAAAAGTAACATATCTGTTAAACATCATCTAACAGCCTTACCCAGGAAATCTGTTAAAAGAGGGGTACTTAACTACTGGCAAAAATCCGAAATGGGGTTTATTTCACTTCCTTTAGGACCATTTCCAAGACTACCAATGTTATTATCATCCCCTCTCCGACACTCAATATTTCAGGAAAGTTTGTTCAAGTGAGGCAAACATAGACAAAGTGAATGGAAGAAATATTGTCTGCATCTCACTGGGAAGAGCAGAGTACACTGGGAGGATAATCAACTCTGGAACATCAGGTCCCAGGGATTTCATTCTTTCATACAGGATCTCACAGGCAGTGTCGATCTCCTCCTGACCAGTCAGAAAGACCAGGATGTCACCTGGTGGTTCTGTTAAATGGATCTGCATGACGGTGATCAAGCTGGCATCCAGATAATCTGTCTCAGGTTCCTTTGTGTACAGTATTTCCACTGGATATGTTCGACCAGGGATGGTGAAGATGGGAGCTTCATAGAAGTACTGAGAAAACTTCACTGCATCCAAGGTAGCTGAGGTGACAATCAGCTTCATGTCCTGCCGTTTCTGAACAGTCTTCTTCAACAATCCAAAGAGCACATCAGTGTGGATTGTTCTCTCATGCGCCTCATCCAACATGATGATGGCATACTGCGTGAGGTCGGGGTCAATCAGGCACTCTCGGAGCAACATCCCATCTGTCATGTACTTGATGACTGTTTCAGGGCTTGTACAGTCCTCAAATCGAATGGTATAGCCCACCTCTTGGCCTAAGCAACAACCAAACTCCTCTGACACTCTTTTGGCCACTGACATGGCTGCCACTCTTCTGGGCTGGGTACATCCAACCTTGCCCCTGGAAGTGTAGCCCACCTCCGCCAGGTACTGGGTGATCTGCGTTGTCTTCCCAGATCCTGTCTCTCCAATAACAATCAGGATCTGATTGTCATGGACAGCCTGGATCAGCTGCTCCTTCAGTTTGTAGATGGGCAGGCTCTCTCTCTGCTCAAGGATTGACATCTGGGTCTTTTTTCCATAAGAAGCTTTGTTGCCCCCAAAGGCATGCTTCTTCCACTCGGGGATGTCATTGGGCATCATCCTGATACCCCTCATGTTGGCAGCAATCTGCTTGCCTTCCATATCAGGCAAAGGATCAACCCAATGTTTGTTGAGTCCCATGGGAATAGAATCCATCTCGGCTTCCCGCTGGGCTTGCTTGAGCTCCCGCCTTTCTTTGGCCAAGGCACTCTGCATCATGGCTGCATGAGAGAGCGAGCCATCTGGGTTCTTAACAATTTCAATAGGGTTCATGTCCATGTTTTGCTTTGTGTGCCCTCTCAGGAAGGGAGGCTCTTCCTCAGCCAGTTCAATCTCAAGGTCCTCATCTTCTTCATCATTTACTTTAGGAAGAATGCCAGTCTCTTCATCAAAGTCTGGAAACTCTTCTTTAGAAAGAACATTAGCAGCAATCATCTGTTTGATCTCCCACTTCTCTGGGTCAGAGATGCGGGTAAGGCGCTTGCGCTCCAGCGAGTCATCCTCTACTTCAGGGGCACCGACAAGGGAGAGGTGAGTGGGTCTGTCCGGGTTCCTCATAGAAGTCTCCTCATTGGTCTCCCCGACAAGATTTCGTCGTCGATTTGGGTTTAGATCTTCCCCAGTCTCTTGATCCACATCCTTCATGCTCAAACTGGTCTTGGTCCCAGTGAAGGACAACACTTTGACCTTGACTCTCTGGCCTTTGCTCACCACATCAGCCACATTAGCGACACGGCCTTCCCGCCGGAGCTCAGAAATATGCACCAGGCCTTCCCACCGCTTCCTTAGTCCCTCTAGCTGCACAAAACATCCAAACTGCATGATGCTGGTAACTCTGCCATTGTAAATGTCCCCGATAGCAGGCTCTTCCGGGGGAGGGCGGTCCACGTGCTGATCCCGCCATCTGTCCAGATTCCTCTCCCCATATTTGTCTCGGTCCTTCCGGTCTCTGGGGGGACTCTGACTTCTGCTCCTGGACAGATATCTAGACTTCCCTTTATTCCTCTCCTGAGTCCTGGAACGTGATCGAGAGCGGGACCAGTGTCTCCGCTTGTGGTCTCTATCACGGTCTCCTTCTCGGCTCCAGCTCCGCTTCTTCTTCTTTGCCTTGTCCCGGTGCTCGGCATCTCTTTGCTTCTCCTGGCCCGCTGCGCTGGGCATTAAAGCCTCCAGTTCTTTCAGGACATCCACAGCGACTTTCACATCATCCTCATCCAGCATGGTCCGAACAGAAGGGTTGTCTGGTTGGCAAAGGACTGGAAAGAGTTCTTTCAGCTTTTCTTTCTCAGTTTTGGGTTTAACAACTGGATCTTTGCTAGTAGAAGGCTTTGTGGGAGGCCGCATGGTTTGTATGAGACGCAGCAAGTTACTGATAAGAGAATCCGTGAATTCTGCACCATTTTTGACCAAAGAAGTCTTAAAAGTAACAAAGGTGGTATTTTTCTCAGCAAGACTGATCACAAATTCAGCCAGATCCTTGTCGTTGATCCCCAAGTGATTGTTCAACTCAGTGCAAACCTTCGACACCAAAGACAGATACTCGAGTTTGGCGAGTTCTTCCTCGAAGCCTAGCTCCGTCCCGTTGACGGCTCCCACCAAGGTCACAGCCACCGCCATGGCTACGGCTTCCCCCGCCTCCTCACTCACGGTCGGAATTTTTTAAGCGCTTTACCTCTGCCTTCTCCCCTTACTCCTTCCGTCGCTTCTTTTCCTGGAGAATCTAATGTAAGGTCTTCACTTTCCAAGAGTCCTTTTCCTCACGCAGTGGCGACACCGCCGCCGTCGCTGGTCCAGAGTCTGAAGAGAAACTGCGGGGTGTGCCCGGAGCGTGGTTTTTATCCTGAGCGTCGGCGCAGGATGATGACGTATTCTCCAGGTTCCGGCTGGAGCCAGTCGG